CCACCCTGCAGCCCAGGCCAAAAATCATATATTTATTCTACAACAAGAGTAACGACGCACAAAACAAACAAAACCAGCCGTGCTGCAAAGCCGCATGTATGGCAGAGGCGACCAGGTGGCGTGAGAGCGAACATCAAGGGGAAGAAGAGTGTTTTAAACTGCACAGGTCCAGGCGCAGTCAATCACCTTGATGACCACTCTGCCTTGATAGAACCCTGCAAAGTGACAAAACACAGGAAAACAACAAACACACACCTAGTGGCACGGAGGGGTCGTCACAGTTTTTATTTTATATTGAGGTTGTCGTTTTTCCACACTGTATTTTTTACATTCCAAAATTTTTACATTTTTGAGATGTTTTTTGTTTGTTTTACATTTTTAACATTGTATATATTTTATATGACTTTTTAAACATTTTTTCACACTGTGTACTTTATTATTTTGTGCACACAGTATATGTTTTTTTTATTTTATTTTATTTTTTGGACAATATTTTCTTCCACACTATCAATTTAATTATACTGCATCTTTATTTATGTTTTTTATTTTTTGCAGATTTGCACACTTTATTTTTTAGATTACAAAAATTTTACATTTTGTACTGTTTTTGTTTATTTTTCCCCATTTTTAACATTGTATATATTGTATATTACTTTTTTCACATTGTATATTTTATTATTACACATAATATTTAAATTTCCACAAACAGTATATGTTTTTTTTTTTTTGCATAACATGCTTTTTTTTTTTTTGCACAATATTTATTTGTTCCACACTTTCAATGTAATTATACTGCATTTTTATTTTCTTTTTGCATTTTTGCACACTGTATGTCTTTGCATAACATTTACATTTGTGTCACTATTTTTTCAAATATATCTTCTGCTTGTATTTTCTTACATTACTTTCTTTTTTCATCACTTTTTTTTTTTTTACATTGTCCCATGACTGATTTTTGCTGGTTGTAAGTTTTTTCATTATATATATATTGTTTTTCGCACACTACATGTTTTACATGACATTATTTAGACTTTTGCACACTGCATTTTCTTTCTTTATTTATTTATTTTTTTACATTTTGCATACGATCTACTTTTACCATTTTTTTCAAATGCAAGCTGTTTTGTTGGCACAAAGAGACATGAAGCCAGTGGTATTAATGTTGTGGCACAAAGGATGTGCATGGAGCAAAAATAACTTAACAACTATAGCATTAAAACATGGCAAACAACTAAAGAATTAGATTCAATAATCCATGAGAGAAATAATTCTCTTGTGATATCAAATCTTTTTTTTCTTTAAATCTGTTCCCTGATTATTTCTGAGGGCAGCATGAATGGCTGAAACATCCGTAATCATATCTACACTATGTTGGATGTCACCAAGAATTACGACATAGAAACCAGTGACGGTGTGAAGAATCTGCCAGTTCACCTGATTTATATTCATCTGTGAGCGTTTGTCTCCCTCCAGCGGTGAAATGTGGAGTTACACTGTGAGGATGTCAACAGATCTGCTGGCTGGTCTGCAACCTGCAAGAACACAAACCAGAAAAGTTATGTCGGACCCAGCAAGCAGTGACCTTCAGGTAATGTTCCCTAAAGGTTCCCTTAAGGGTCAGTAAACAATGCTGGGCAGCATTTAAAGTAACTGCAAAAACAGAGTTCCCAGAAGGTTACTGTTTGCTAGGAAATCTTTAAAGTGCTAAAAGAAATAAATAAGAGTTACCATAACAAAACACAGTTCACTGAAGAGTTCCTTAAAGGTTGTTGTTAACTAGGGAGTCATTTCAGTGCGAGAAAAACTAACTGGAACAAAACACAGTTCCCTGATCAGTTCCCTAAAGGTTACTGTTGGACAGAGAGTCTTTAAAGTGTGAAAAAAAAAACCTAATGGTAACAAAACACAGTCCCCTACTTCTTTGAACGTGCTGTCAAGGTTGCTGTTTGTGGCGTAATCTTGAAAGTGCTTTAAAAAAAAGTCGCCGTAACACAACATAGTTAAATGAATGTTCCCTATAGGATACTGTTGGTTGGGAATCTTTAAAGTGTTTTGGGGAAAAAGGTTCCTTGGCGATCACTGTTTACTAAAAAGTCTTTAAAGTGTCGAAAAGGTAACTACACAGTTCACTAAAGATTCCCTGAACATTACTGTTTGCTCGGGAATGTTTAACGTGCTAAAAAAAAAAGTAACTAACAAAACACAGTCCACTAAACAGTTCCTTGAATGTTCCCTGAAGGTTACTGTTGGGCTGGGAGTCTGGAAAGTGCTGTAAGAAAAAGTCACAGAAACAAAACATAGTTCAATGAACGTTCCCTAAAGGTTAGTGTTTGCTGGGAATCTTTAAAGTACAGTTCCCCGATGGTTACTGTTTGCTAGTGACTCTTGAAAGTGCTTATTAAATATATATATATTTAGAAGCACCTGAAACAAAGCACAGTTTCCTCACGAGTTCCCTGAATGTTACTGTGTGCTGGGGAAGTCCAAAAGAAAAGTAACTAACAGAACACTGCTCACTAAACAGTTCCCTGAATGTTCCCCAAAGGTTACTGTTGGGCAGGGACTCTTGAAAGTGCTTTAAGAAAAAGTCACTGAAACATGACATAGTTCCCTGAATGTTCCCTATAGGTTACTGTTTGCTGGGAATCTTTAAAGTGTGTTGGGGGGAAAACTAACTGGAACGCAGTTCCCTAAAAGTTCCTTGGCGGGTATAGTTTGCTAGGGAGGCTTTAAAGTGTTTAAAAAGTAACTGTAAAACAGCACAGTTCTCTGAAAAGTTCCCTGAAGGTTGCTGTTCGCTGAAAATGCTAAAAAAAAACGTCCAGTACCAACAGGTTATCCGCAGCGTCCGAACTGCATCACGAGTGCGGCCCAACCTCACAGCAGCGGCAGGCTTCGTGGACTGTGGATTTCCCGTTCATTCTTGTACATTTTGATTACTTATCAATTGACAGATTTGCTGTAACTAATTACTATTTGTACTGCAACAGAGCTAAACTGATACAAATTTGATTTTTGCGAGTTTGCAGCGTCGTTTTAAGTCCCTTTAACTCAGTGCAACGCCACATTTAACTCCTGTTCATAGTAGAAAACATATGACGCCGACTGATCCAGGAAGAAACCGCTACAAGATGGATGTTTCTCACAGCCAATGGAAATGTGGCTTTTTCACATTAAGCCCGCCTTTGTACGAAATGGACGAATCACCATCCAGGATTGTAGCTTCCGCCACAGACACGGAGCATGTTCCATTGTACGGGCTGTTCTGACGGAGTGCCGCGGTTATTGAGCTGCAGACTGTTAAATACGTGATTTCTTCAAACTTGTTTCACGTTTTGCAGCCGGTTGTCGCCTCTTTTAGCTCGGAATCATATGAAGTTGTTACAGAAAAGTTGCGGGCGCTTACAGGGACGAACCGCGGCGGCTCTCAACCGAAGGAATTTCTTCATTAGCGGCAACTCATCCACCTTGCTGTCCCGCTAGCACTGGAGCTAATCGGCGTTAGCCGCAGCTGTTCCGTGGCTTGAATCCGACGGAGATCTGCGGGAATTATGTCTTCATCTTCGGGGAATCGTGTTTCGAAATAAGTCGGGATCAGACAACGGGGACTGCTAGCTCGCTAACTAGCTACGTAGCCGACTTGGCTAGCTTGCTAACTGGATTGTCTTTCACAAAAGGGCACCGCGTGAACAAGAGAGTCGGTAGCACGTTTAACGCGGTGCTTTTTACTGTTTTTTTTATTGTTTGGACTGTCGCTTAAAAGATCCTTCCAGCTATCCAGGATGAACGGGTTTAGCACGGAGGAGGACAGCCACGACGGACCGCCCGCTCCGCCGTTTTACGGACAGAGCTGCTGCCTGATCGAGGACGGGGAGCGCTGCGGCCGGTCAGCTGGAAACGCATCCTTCAGCAAGAGGATCCAGAAGAGCATATCGCAGAAGAAACTCAAGCTGGACATCGACAAGAGCGTAAGAGCCTTTTGTTCTGTTTTGAAGCCGAAACTAGTGACTGAGAGTGCGGGGCGATGGTTGGAAGTTGGCTCCTGGGAGAACTGCTCAGCTGTCAGCTAATGCTAGTTAGCCGGTTAGCGTCGGTTGACGGGAATAAACAAAAGGGGAGCTTTGAACCGCGGCTGCTGGTTGTGTATCGGTGAACGGAGCTCCTGCCTGCCGCTGTTCATGTGCCGGCACACGGAGCTGCCACTGTCCGTGTTGCGGTGCTCGGAGCTCCGGCTGCTGTCCAGCCGGACGTCAGGCTAGCGTTAGCCGCGCTAGCTGCCCGGCTGGAGGACGGCAGCTCACAGCAACTTTGCAGTTTGTGTCATTGCAACAGTTTTGTCCAACACGCCCCCGCTGCTCCGCATAAAATGGCTGGAGGCTTTTCTGTTACTTAATCTCACTGACAGCGTCTATTTTAAGGTGGTTGGAGCTGCTGTTCGTGCCAAAAAGTGACAGCAGTTACCTTCATGCTTCTGCATTATTTTACCTGCTCGGTTTACTTCGTGACGACCTGTTTTTACTGGATTGAACTGAATTAAAGGGCAACTTCAGCTCATTAAAAGCAGCTTTCCTCTTGAGAAAAAGTGATTGCAGAACATATGCTTGGACTATTAATGCATCTAAAGACCTTGTTTTATTCTTGAGCCTTACAGTTTAAAGATTCTAGCCAGTCGGATGATCCCAAAAGAGATGAATTCTTTATTTTATATATAAAACCCATCAGTAAATCAAGTTAATTTAGCAAACAGCTGCCTTTTAGTGCCCAGAATGTTCTTCTCAAAAGCAGGATAATGTTCTCTAGAAAGGTTCCTGATAGTGTTGCATGGAGAACATCCTTCCTCTGTTTTATATAGAAGAACATTGCATACTATATTTTCCCAAAACATCCTCAGAACATTGCAGGCCAAGTGTTCCACCTTTTTCCTAATGTATATCACATTACAGGAACGTTTTGAGAAAGTTAGGCAAAGTTACGATGATGTTGTCAGCGAGTGGTTTTCTTTTAGTTCCCAGAATGTTCTTCTCAAAGGCAGGATAATGTTCTTTAAAAACGTTCTTCAGGCATTTGCTGAATGTGGCGCTGAGAACGTCTTTCCTTTATCGTGTAACTATGCCGGCCGCTTCATGGGAGAACGCTCCATAATTTGTTCCTTTAAGAACATAATCAGAAAAAAAGAAAACTAGATCTGCATTAGAAGAGCAGCTCTGGTGTGGTTTTAGCTAAACTAAAGAGAACTCACATACGGGTCAAACTGCCACTTAATGCTTGGTTACGTCTTTCCAGGTGCGACATCTCTACATCTGCGACTTCCACAAGAATTTCATCCAGAGTGTCCGCAACAAGAGGAAGAGGAAGACCAGCGACGACGGAGGCGAGTCTCCAGACCACGATGTGGAGGTGCCGGAGGTAACGTGGACTCTCTCTTTATTTGGCGATTGTTTCTGCAAATATTGACGTTAATGTGTCGTGTTTGGGCGCCACGTACAGTCAGCTGGATTCAGAAATGTTCACCTGAGATACTCTACCTGCTGTTTTTCAACTTTTTCTTTTTAGCTAGAGTTTAGGAGCCACCTGCAGATTTTCACTTATGTTTGGATTCGAGGAAAAATGATCAAAAATCAAGAAATAGGAAAGTGTAAACTGCTTTTTTTTTCAAATTACACAGTGGTTTATGAATTCTGCTGCAATTGGCTGCAACCTACTAATAAAGAAGGAGAACTTACAAGTTAATACTCAAACAAAAAGTAAAAAGAAGCTGTGTTGTGCTCTAATTAGCATTAGCATCTTTCAGCTTCACTCTCAGACAGCACAACACGAATATTCTCTAATAAAAGTGCAGCGTTTTAGGAAATTAATGACTTGAATTGCAGCGTTGTTGTCGGGTAAATATTGGCATGTTTTAAATTAAAATCGCAGTTTTGAACGATGCAATTCGCAGATTATGAAAGCCGCAGTTTAAAATATACCATGTGAGGCTGTTAAAAAATGAGATTAATGTTGTATTTTGAGACTCTCTGGGTTTGTTCTGCAGCAGACGGATCGATGTCTGCTCCGCGGCTTCACTGAAATAAACCCGGTTTCATTATTTAACAGCCGAATCTCAACGTTTTGCAGCGTCTCGGAGCCAAAGTTTAAACTGCACGTCAATGATCTCACAGATTCCTCTAAAAAACGTTTGCTGATAAGATGAGAGATTGTTTGTTGCACTGAGGACATCCTTCCTTTGTTGTCAGGGAACACTGTCGGAACGTTTTAAGGAAGAACGCCTTCTAAACATCCAAGATCCGTCCTCAGAACATTGCCGGCTACGTGTTCCACCTTTGTTTATGTATATCACGGTACAGGAACGTTTTGTAAACAAACAATCTGAGGCCTCGATATCGCCTGGAAAACATTTTATAATGTTGCTTTGAGAACGTTCTGTCTTTGTTATAATAGAACATAATCTGACAGCATCCTCCGAACTTCCTCTGGATGTTAAAACGTTCTGTCATGGTTCATGTCACCCCAAAGACATTCTTAGAAAGTTCTGGGAACCTTCTTCAGAGTTCTGGTAATGTTTTTTTTTTGTTCCCAGAGTGTTCTTCCTTAGGACAGGATAACGTTCTCTAAAGATGTTCTCAGAAAGGTTTGCTGGTACCATGAGAGACTGACCGTATGTTACACTGAGAACATCCTTCCTCTTTTGTCACAAAACATTGTGAGAACTTTTTGTAGAACATTATATAGTTGTTTTTGGCCATGATAACATTTGGAAAACATTTTTTGAGTGTTGTTTTGGTAACTCTTTTCCTCCTGTATCGTGGAACATAATCTGACGGCATCCTCCAAAATTTCTCCGAATGTTAAAACGTTCCCTCTCAGTGCACTTTTAACCTCACAGGAACAGTATTTTAAGCGACAAATACCCTTTAAATGTTCTCGGAACACTAAATTAAAACATTGCTAGAACTTGCAGGTAACGTCGGCCGAAGTCGTGGCTCCGTCACGCTTTCTATCCAGAATCTAGTGTTTTTTGTGCCACTGCAGAATATTTTAACCTCCTAACTTCGAGGAAATGCTGCAAGAAAATCTGCAGTTTTCTGTCAAAGTTTCTTCTTGATCTTGTGTTGACGTCCACGAGTCCCTTTAACTGGTTTTGACATTTTAAATGGTGGAATTTGCATTCTAGGGGAGTTTTGTAGGCATCCGTCAGATGCATAAATATGTAATTTGCATACAAAAAGAAGCATTTTTTTGCTTTGTAGGTGAAAACCGTTAAAACATTGACTCATGTTGGGAGAGTTTTACTACCATCACTGCTCCTTTTTAAGAAATTTATGGTTGCCCCGCATTTAGTCGCTCCGTCGCTGCAGTGACCCAGTTTCTCGGCGGAAATCATTAAAGTTTCATCTCCTCTAAAAGCTGAAAAAGAGGCAGGAGCCGCTGGGACCCTTACGTAATCCTCTGAAATGTGTCCACGCCGAGTTTTGCCCTCCGCCTGAACCAAGTCGCTGCTTCTGTTCTGTTCTCAGGTGGACCTTTTCCAGCTGCAGGTGAACACATTGAGGCGCTACAAGAGACACTACAAGCTGCAGACCCGACCCGGCCTCAACAAGGCCCAGCTGGCAGAGGTAACAGAACCTTCAATCTAAACAGCAGCAACGACTCCACAAATACAAACCAGTGTTGTTTGTTAGTACAGGTGTTTACAAAGTTGTACTTTTTAAGGTAATATTATTAACAGAACATGTTTGGGATGTTAAACTTGAGGGAAGATGTTAATCCAACGTTTATTTAAACCCAGAGTACGCTGAGTAATCATTTAGATTATATAGTAAGGGAAAAATATCAAAATCTGCCAACTAAATCATTACCAAACAACTTCTTCACCAATATGTTTGTAAAGGTGTGTAATAACACGCCTTAAAATGTTGAAGTTCAACTCCCGTGGGAAACCCTGAAAAACACCTGCTCAAGTTAGGGTACCGAT